TACTACTACTACTACTACTACTACTACTACTACTACTACTACTACTACTACTACTACTACTACTACTACTACTACTACTACTACTACTACTACTAACAGTCTGTTACGTAGTATGGATAAGTAGAACATACTGATCAGAGCGATTGCTATGAACGCTATGATGGGGATGGGATATATAAGGACGCTCATTTATGTACTCAGTCTAGCTCTTCGCGATCAATCTAGTTAATCAAATATTGGTTAGTTATCTTTCTAGTTTCTGACTCGTCCGCACTTAACCAACAACCCAGCATACGTGCTCGGTTGGCCTTGTTTCTCTATTCGTTTACCTTATTGATCCTATTTATTGATTACCCTGCGGAGCCTGGAGGGGGCGATGTACCCATCGACACATTACGACCTGGACCTGGACGGTCCTTGAAGCATAAAAATGTCAGACATTGTCAGACATTCTGCACGCTAAAGTCTCATCTCAATGCACATATTTCACTGACATCTGTCTTGTCATTCTATGATATTTAGGAACCCCCCTTTCCCGAGTAGATCGTTAGAGTAGTTGTCTCGATGAGTTCATGTTTGCACATTGATCCTTTCCCGTGTCCTGTGACGGCTTGCCTCATAATGTCCAGAAAAAGGCATCAAGTAACGGTGACCAAAAGTTCAACAAGTATTTGCCTTCAGACCGTTCTCGCCTTTTACATTGACACGTTCATTCTCTTTGCCTTTCGTCATGCAAGAAATAGACAAGATAGAAAGCAAACCGCAGAAGGCAGCAGTAGGAAGCTCAAAAGGTAGCTGGCAGCCTATTCGAAGGCAATATAAACGCCTCTCTACACTTCATCTTCTTTTCTCCTAACACTACACTTTCACACCATACTTTCACCAGACTTGTTCTTCAATCTATCATCTCACAACATGCCCATAAGCTATCCTTGCCAGAGGCTCCTTGGCCAGGTCAAAGACGCTCTGAGAATCCTCAAGGAGTCAGGCCCTGAGGCTACAGAAGAAGTCAAAGGTCTCACTGAACAGCTTCAAAATTTACCGAATGATGAAGCCAGCGACAATTAATACCGATTCTCCAAGTATTTAGCTGCTGACAAAATCACGATCAAAGACCTCGGACTTTTTCGACACAGAACACATCAAAGATGCTTACAGAAGCGGCCGTCCTTGTCACTCACAAAGATGCGCAGCCAATTCAAGAAGCGCCAAATTCGGACTCGTCAAAAGAATACCAGTTTCAAGATTGAGCGTCACGGCGAGATGATGATTATCTAGCTGATTAGGAGATAAAAATGACATGAAGCTTGTAGAATACCATACTTCCCGTTTGTGGTTATGTCAGTCTTCTCTTTCTTCGATCACTTTTGGCTGATTCATGAATGCACAGTCTACCACCAGAATTAGGTTCATGAAACCGATTCAATACCAGCACTGGATCAAAGGAAACAGGCTATTCCTTGACAATTACAAGCTCGCAATCCTTCAGATATGTCGAAACTAAAGCACGCATTTCTCTTGGAAATGGCCTTCGCCAGCTTTATCCTTCTGAGAGAATAATGTTGCTTAAACCAGAAAACAGAAGGAAATTCTTGCTGAGGCACCAGAGATCCTCTATCTAGCCACACAGCAATATCACCAGTTCGTAGACAGTCACCATCAGACTTAAAGAACCTGTCGAAATAATGATCCACTTTCGAGACCGAGTGGTTGATAAAACCAACGTAGTCTGTCGTATGTTTTTGGAATAACATCCGGCGCCAACTTGCTTCTAATCAGGCGTATGCCTCATCGTCAACATCGTTTATCTTTTCTTGTTTGCGGACGAACCAGGGCCAGATATCTTTCTCGATGAATGGGTTTCGTGTGTGCTCTTTGGAATCGTATGAGCGAATTGGTTTGAGGAAAAGCGCTATTTGCAGTTTATTTGAACGGTTGATAAGCGTATGCTATGTTGGGTATATGCATATAAACAGCAAGAGCGAGAGGAGCGGAGGAACGAAGAAATGGCCAGTTCATCTGCCTGTGCAATAACATGTTTCCGGCGACGTTTTTTGAGGCAAATTTGGCCTTGTGCACAAGCCTCTGACGGGTCCTTCAATTTAAGGAACATCATAAAATGATAAAACGAGGAATAACGAAAGACGAGAAAGACGAATGAAGTGAAAAAAAGAGATGAAGGAGAGTCGAAAAAGCTAGACACAGAAGGTGTTTATTCAAGTTTCACGAGGTCGACACCAAAGCCATCGACCACTCTACATTCACTGACTATGCTGCAGGATGTTTGGTGTTTCATGCATTAGGGCATTCTTAGCAAATCAGACATTCGACGAATTCATTACACTCATTACGCGGATCTATGGACCTATAGCCCAATGGAAACCGCATGTAAAAGCCCCTCGCCTATATGTGCAAAAGAAGAATAATGGCTAGCTTTCTAGTCACGATAAAGTCGAAAGTACTTGGAACTATGAACTTCCTGTCGGTAGTTATCTTTATCAATTTCTCTTTTCCCCAATGAATCCATCCAGCGGGTCATCCATGCACTCCGAGGCTTATTATCATGATCACCATGCAATTCAAACTCATGCAATGCCGGCTCCTCAACACAGCCATACCTGTTTTCGAAGATGAGGCAATCACAGTCCCTCAAAAGCGCCGGCGTTGGAATGTTCCCTGCATAATATTCCTCGCACATTATCACGGCATGCAGCATGGGGCGGTTGGAACCAGAGAACACAAGGTGCGTGGTCAGACACCATGGAACCATCATCCAATGCCGGAGCAATATCCTTCAACCGAAGGGTGTCATTATCAGGTTTCAAGAACCGCATGCGTGTGTATAGCGGGGGTTCTGCCCACCAATGTTCGTAGTAGATGACGCCGACATGGGATGTTGGGGGTTGCTGGAATAGCATCTGTTTCCAGCTGGTCTCTGGCCGAGTATAGCGGTTATCATATTCAGAATTATCATCATCCTCGTCCTCGGAATTCCAATGGTCATAGCATTCTTTTTTCTCCTTGTCGAATTGTTTGTTCATTAACCAAGGCCAAACAAGGTCCTCGATAAAGGGGTTTCGTATACGCCTGGAACCATATGGCAGTCCATACCTAACCGGTTTTAAGAGAGCCTCCAAGTGCGGCATACACACTGGGATAATAGTAGCGTGCGCCTGTCTGTATAGATGAGGACTCGTTCTAGGATTTCATACATGGCAAAGGCCTTTTCTGCCATCTTGAAGATTTGATGCTTTGTCTTTTGTGTCAGAATCTAGCCTGAGTGAGAAGATGACATAATAATTAGCCCTAGTATTTGCTTGCATTATTTACTTTGGCCATAATACTAGTATCGAATTCGTGTTTATTTCGACGTGAAAAGTCCCAGTCGCGCTACAAATTAGAATCAGATAAGATTGACCAATTGACGCGCGTATTCGACGATCGCGATCCTTTCGGGCGTGTTTATTTCGCTTATATTCTCCATTTCTTCCCTCCTTGTTTCCCCTGCATTTCCTCTTCTTCTTTACAACATTCTCCTTCCAATTGACTCTGTACGAGTAGTGTTATCACCATGGCCCCCCGTCGTTCGCAGGATGCCGACCGCAAACTCGAGAGCGGACAGGCCAGCCAGTCCGCCAACACTGGTTTACATCCTGCTGTTTACATCGCGTGAGTTTTACGGGCTTCACGAGTATCTCATTTACGCCTAAACTGACATTGAGTAGTCTATGGATCGCGTTGAGTTCGAGTGTTATTCTCTTCAACAAGTGGGTGCTTGCGACCGCCAAGTTCAGTGAGTTTTCGGACCCCTTTTTATGTGATTCTGTGATTTTGTGCTAATTCCGATCTAGATTTCCGTAAGTCACGACTGTATGCTATTTGCGATCAAGCAAATTATTGACTCTTCTAGCGCTATTCCTGACAACATGGCACATGGGATTCGCGACCTTCATGACCCAGATTCTGGCGCGGTTCACCGATAAACTGGACTCGCGGCATAATGTTCCCATGAACCCGCGGACTTACACGTATGCCATATCAAAATCACTACCATTGAGAATGCAGCTAATCCGTAGCAACCAGTCGCGCCATTGTGCCCATCGGTCTCATGTTCAGTTTGAGTCTTATCTGCGGAAACCTGTCGTATTTGTATCTCTCTGTGTCTTTTATTCAGATGCTCAAGGTGAGTCTTGACCGCCAAGAAAACGGAAGGAAATGTCGATCTGACAATTATAAAGGCAACCAACGCCGTCGCGACTCTTGTGGCGACTTGGGCCTTTGGCATTGCGCCCGCTAATCTCCGCACGTTGGGCAATGTGTTCGCAATCGTGGTTGGTGTCGCGATTGCATCGTTTGGGGAGATTAAGTTCGATATGTTTGGATTCCTGGGTGCGTCACTTTGCTCTTTTTCCCTCTCCGGAATATGTGGACTAATAAAGCCACAGTCCAAGTCGGCGGTATCATCTTCGAGGCCCTCCGTCTCGTTATGGTCCAGCGCCTCCTCAGCTCCGCCGAATTCAAGATGGACCCTCTGGTCTCGCTGTACTACTACGCGCCCGCATGCGCCGTGACAAACGGCGTCGTCACCCTCTTCACTGAACTCCCGCGCATGACCATGGCTGATATCTACGGCTTGGGTATGGGTACGTTGATTGCTAACGCAATGGTTGCGTTCTTGCTTAACGTCTCCGTCGTCCTTTTGGTGAGCACTCCTCCAATTAGTTACGAAATCGCAGTACTGATGAATGTGTAGATCGGCAAAACCTCCGCCGTGGTCCTCACTATGGCTGGTATTCTTAAGGATATCCTCCTTGTTTTCGCATCCATGGCTATCTTCCGTGACCCCGTTACCTTCCAGCAGTTTGTTGGGTACTCGATTGCGCTTGGCGGATTGGCGTACTACAAGCTCGGAGCTGAGAAGATGGGTGCTCTTCTGCGGGATCTGCGTGCGAGTTTGTGCGGGTAAGCATTGATTCGCGAACCCTGCCGGGAAGAAGATTTTGGACTTTGGAGTGGGTTTGCTCCGTCCTCCGTGTTATTTTCTCGGCAAGCGCCTGTATTAGCGCTTAGGCTGTTTGTCTAGAATTTTGGTAAGATGTTGGTATTGGTTGGGTGGTTTAGATTACTTCATGTAGATATGAGTGTGCATCCAGCTGGCTGGGTATACTGGAGGAAAGGAGCAGTGGTTTATTCCCATATACCGTCTAAGCTTTATTACATTTTGGATTAATTACCAAAAGATAGAATGAAAATTGTTCGTTAAGTACATAAATGGTCAATAGACTGGTAAACGAATGTAAATCTGGCGCTGTATCTGCCTTCTATCTCGCCATGGTATAGCCGGAATGCTTCAGCGCCAGCTAATTCTCCTTACTATGGGATTGATTCCATGTCTTTTTTTTTTATATATCTCCATACGTCGCCCGTTCCTTGCTTCAGACAACAAACCAAAAGCGATTCCACAGATAGATAAACCTTCAGCAATAGTGTCTCATAGTGATGGTACTGCTTGATGCACAAAAACCCGAGCATCTTGTACGGCCAAGTTTCGCCACCTCCCTGCGTCTACCCAAAGTCCCTACCGTTTGTCCATCTTTTTTCATCGGTTTGGGGGGGAAAAAAAAGTGCTTTCCTGGAATCAAGGGCTCACTGAGCTTCTTAGCCACATTACATGATCTGGTGCAGTAATGTATGTTGGTTAGCATTTGGGGGATGGAGAATGAAATGGATGAGGTTTAGAGAGGATTGCATACTATGCATCCCCTCAATATTCAAAACCAGCATAATCTAAAACACCCCGAGAGAATCAGAGCTCTTATGTGATAATGGCGCGATCGTAGACAATGTCTGTTCGCTCGATGCTGCACGTTTCTTTAGCTTGGCTGACAAGACGTCTTCCAGATAACTAGTAGCCAGTGGCGGGCTCGTCTTATCTCAGCTCTTGCACAATCCTGTGTTATTTAATCGTGGATTGTTTGTTCCTCTCTGTTATGTACCGTACATACCCCGAGGGATAAGGATTCAATGTTTGCTCCTTATGAGGCTCTTTAGTAATTATACCACAGCATAATTCACCTCAAATCAGGTTCTCCGAAGGTCATCACCCTCTCTGTTATGGAGTGACCACGGCCAGCCGTCAATGAGCTCGCTTAACAATTCTGCATGGTTCTTCAATGCCGAAGTTTTGGCACCCCACCAAGGACCAAGAAGTGGATCAACTGCCGTATATAAACGATTTACCGTCTGAAGGGATGTTATCCTTGCGTATAAGAAACCCAAGTTTTGTCTCGAAATTGGCTTCTTTCGACAAGCCCGTGGAGGCCATTGCTGTGGCCTTGTGTGGTGCAACTTTTTTCCAGCAACGAGAAACTTTTTCCAGAGGCATCATTGGGAGCTCATCTTGAATCTCAGCAGCAACTTGGTGAGAAGCTTCACACAAGTGTATCAACAGTAACCAATGGAAAGTGACTGTCCAGGTATAGAACCTGGAGGCATAGCTGTCCGTCGCTATACCTTCTCGTTTCCCCACCATGTGTTCGGCATAATAGAAAGTTAAACCCTGTCCAAATGGGACAGAAAAGTGTGTCCTCCACCTACTCATACATACGTACGAGCAGTTGGCGCCAAGCTGATTGCTCCTAGCTCAACACTAAAAATTGATCCGCTCCATCATAACACCGAGAGAAAAAATCGGCCGGGGATTTTATATATACCAGTGACTCGACCTGGAAGCTCATCTGTCTTTTTCCGAACGGCAAATAGCTCTCCGGTGACGAGAAGAAGGACTTACTCATGCCCATAAATGAGGAGGCGCAGCTGCACCAGGCAGATTCGTCTCATCTAACAAAATGGCTCGATCAATCTGCGCTGTCACTTCGTACCAACATGAGTAGTCTGCAAGGCATGATCCTGGGTAGATGGCTGCTGGCTCTTGATTTGTATAGGTCTAAAACAATAAGAAGCTGTAGTCAGTATGTGTGACATATTTATCAATTATTACTGTCATTAACAGTGCATGGCCAATCCAGGTTAAATAGATCAAGACACATACTGAATCTGGGGTGTAAGAGTGATTCTAGTGCTTACCAGTGTGATAGCAATGCTCCAGGTTCTCTAAGGCCTTTCACCAGCCTGGAGTATCTAGAGTCATGTGTTTTCTGCTGATGAGTTGGATAGCACAACTCTACTATCATCACCTACATTGGAGGGATATTCTGCCCAATATGTGTGTGCTGTCCGGTATAGTCAATGAAAGCACCCTTTGTATAAGTCTCCACCTGGAAGCTGCCCACAGGCCGAGCAGACAGGGCAGGCAAGTATCGTTTCGCTTCAACAATAAAAGCAAAGACTTAATTAACCTGTGCGTCCGATGTATACCACAGCGAATAATCAGTTTTCCATGCAAATCCAACCATGTACATTGTGAGTAGCATGAATGGTTTTCTGGTCTTCAACTCAGAGACTCATATATCCCATCCCAAACGGCAAATATACCTTGAGTCGGCACTGGGTGCCTTGCTCATACGTGCAGACAGATTAGGATGAGCAGGGAATCTTTCACACTGGCAACAATGGCGATTTCTCAATCAACCTGCGCTGCCAGATCATACCACAGAGAGTAGTCAGTGCACACGCGTCGAGTTTGGCAGGCGTGAGAGAGGCGTACATTTCCAAACCTCATGTGAGATCCCCCTTCAGTTGGCATTAAAACCATATCTCTCATGATGATCAAAGTCACTTCTGGGTTGGTAGAAGAATACCAGCATTTGCAGCTCCCCTTGAACCAGTATGTGAAATTATTCTTTCTCTACTCTTGTTTGGTACGTGCTCTTCGGCCTCCAAATCGCCCGTCTCCGGGATGGTAGTTGCAAGATGCGTTGGAGATAGAGACCGGCCAACCAACCCACGCATCCATCGACTTGTTCGCGAGATGTCATCTTTTCGTCGACAGGTAGACGGCAGAAAGAAAAGAGAGAGAAACTAGCAGGAAGTCTGCCAGATGATTGCCTTGATGCGTCATTATATTGCTGTATCTTGGCCCATGCAGCCGTGTTGTGGGAACAAGCAAATTCATATACACACCTATACAACCGACGTGTGCAATTTCATTCCGTTCCTCCCCGTCGGTCTCTTCTGTGGTGTCGTGCTCGCTTCCAGTATTCGACACGGCACATGCGGATGACCCGTTCCTTGTAGGGTCGGAGGTGAACTTGATGCCCCAGAAGACATTCCCGACATCTGATTCTTGGATGATGATCAAATTGAGCTACGGCATGCGCCAGGACCACATCGTACCGGACTGTGTATTCTGCCTTTCTAGCTCCATAATAGTGATAAGATCTTCATATGAGATCGATATCTGTTTAGGGACGAACGACGCTTATATCGCCTCGTACAGGGAGGTAATCTCGCTCTGCGGTCTCATGGCGGGATTATCGTCTACCCGCAGCAATCACAGGGGGGTGAAACGTCGCAAACTTGTTCTGTTGCGCTTCAAAAGTGGCTATTTTTATCAGCGCAGCACCACATCAAACCAGCACGAGTGGTCCGATCATGTAGCTGATAGGCAGCATGCATTTTTGTGCATAATTGATTCCCATTTGAAGAAAGGAATAACACAGTGCGAGTGCCATATCGGGCCACAGAACATGAGCAGGGCCATCAACCGAGAGAGCCGCCTGGTACCACATAGAGTATGTAGTCACATTTCTATCTCGGTGATGGTGTCATTAATATATGAGCTCGGGCCCCATTCGGAAACCAAAAGCATACGCCACAAATAGCGAGGTTATGTCGCCTTTAGGCCTTTCGGTTTATCAACTACACATGTACCATGACAATGGCATGGGGTAGTTAAGGTGAAGCAGACACATACCTGTTCCATTCCAATGATCACCGATGGTCTGCATCACGAGCCACATCGTACCATATTTGCATAATCGGCTTTTCGGTTCAATATCCGGCGTGAGAAAATAGGCATTTAGTAGCCTGGATCCTCATGTATCCCTTTGTTTGAAACACATGTGTTGCTACCTTCCGAGATGTGAGGTCTCTCATGCCACTCGTGGACGATGAGCGAGTAGGTTTAGCTACCCACATATAAAAACATGCATAGAATGCGTGGACAGGATACCGCCAGAATGAGTTCATTTTGCTTCGCTTCAACGACGACCAGACTTTATGAGCGTCTAGCCACATCGTGCCAAAGCGTATAATCCGCCTTTCCACTCAGTGTTCGTATGTTAGCCAATATCTCCATCCAGTATTTCTTTCACGAAGACATGTGTCCGTACCAACTCCCAAGAGGCAAATTTGCTCTCGCCATTCATGGACGAGAAGTAAGGCTCATGTACCCACATATGAAACGAGGACGAACCCTGCTGTCAAAAAACTGCAAGGAAGACTGCACGAAGCAGACTCATGTCTCTTCCCTTCAAAAACGACTGTATTAATCTGCACCGCGAGCCATATCATACCAGGTGGTGTAATCGGCTTTTCCATTTGGTATCCAACATAAGAGTATAGAAAATTGGTAGCCCATAGTTGCAGTAGTATTTCCGTTCGAAACACATGCATATCATCCAAAAAAAAAAAAAAAAAAAAAAAGAGAGAAACGATGACAAGCTTCGGTGTAAACTGCAGGGAATACTTGCGTTAAGCAAACTCGTATTGTTTGTCTTCGATCGTGTAAAGACCTCTTTGCCCCTCCGGGTCATACCACAAGGAGTAATCACAATTCTTGTGTAGGGCTTTGAAAGAGCAGGTGATGCACGGCTCATTTCGTGCAAGGTGTTGGTTTCATTTAGATTGACATGTATCTCGGTCCAAGCGGCAGTTGTTTTCCTGGTGGTGTTGAGTAGGTGGATGAAGAGAAGGATGAGGATTGGGGATTGTAGGAAGGTCTTGTTCGGTGCTAGGGGAGGTGAATGGTAGCAGGAGGTGTCATTATGGTTTTATTGCATCGGATATTCACTTAGGCTTGTTTGTATGGGATAAAATATTGCAGTAGGACATGACGTTGTAGAGCCGGTATGCTTGTAGGGCTGGATCTGATTCAATTCACTGAAAGCCGACCATGGTATATTACTCCGTATATCATATCCTCATTAATTATTTAACAGGAACAGTAATAACAAGACAACAAGATAAGCGAGATTACCTCTTCCTCGGACTAACCAAAGCATGGAAGCCCAACGGCTTCACACTAAACGCCCCGTTATAATTCACCCCCGCATTAGCAACCTTGTAACTCGCATCCGCCTCCT